AAATACTTAAAAAGGTAACAAAACACCAATCAAAACATATGTTTGTTATAAAAAAAGTGAGAAATTTTTAAAAAGTAACAAACAATAAAAAGTGAAAAAAAATTCAGAAAAGTAGCAGGAAAAAAGTTACAAACACACAAAAAATTGATAAAATTGTCACTTTTTTTAAAAAAGTGACATTGTCGCTTTTAAAAGTTTTGTATCATCTTTTTAAAAAGAAACAAAGAGATGTCCGTTTTTAGATAGTTATGACGAGTGTAAATAATAAAAAGAATACATATTTATGATCAAATATGTTAAATCTATTATACAAGCTTAAATTCAAGAAACGTTAAACGTGACAGTGGAGATTTATTTAATAGAAGCATTGTTTATTCCTTTTGACACAATTGTAGACTCCTCTCAATTTATAAAGCGATAAAAATTTCAAATAATTGACAAAAAAAAAAAAGTAACAAAAATTTATAAAGTGATAAAAATTAAATAAAAAGTGACAAACACTAAAAAAAAACACAAATTCAAAAAAGTGACGAATACTAAAAAAAAAAAAGTGACAACATTATGCCTTCACCATTTATTACTATGAAACTTTTAAAATGGTAAATTCCAATTGAGACATTTTGTCAAACACCTTGATAGTATCTTAGAAAATCAAAGGGAAAGAGTTTACCATAGTTTTGAGCTAATTCCAATTTTAATGACAATTTTTTTATGCATTTATACACAAACTCATCACAATCTATGCCCAAACATGCTTCAAATATAAACGAATGAAAAAACTACTCAAAATCAAAGTTCAACCTCAAAAACAAAGTTTATTCAATATTACCTTCAAATCCATATGAGTGTATTTCTTCAGGTTTGAATTTCCTTCTATATTCCCAGATTTTTCTTGGATGACTTTGATTCATTATATTAATTTACCAACTTTGATCATAGATAAAATCGACCAAATATCAACAAAGATTTACCAAAATCCCATATTTCAATTATTTATAGTAGCAAACGCATAGATGACCAAACCAAAAGTCCATGGAATGTGCAGAATTCTTAGACGAGGTTGTGTATATGGCCTTTTTTAGCAGACTCCAATTTGAAATACTCTGATTACACAGATAAGCCACCAGTTGGAGTAACTAATTCAAAGGAATTTGCTTGGAAACTTGAAAAGTAAAAAACACGGTGCAAGAGAAAAAAAACGAGTGGAATCGATCAAGACGGTGTTGAGAAGAATTTGAGTTGTAGGTGATGAGGGTCTCTCGTTGGGATTTGTCTGGAACTACTGGTTTGGGTTTTGGGTGGTTTTGTAATTCTAGAACGTATTAATTACCCTAATTATATGATTTAATTAGTTAATAGGGTATTAATCAAATTAGTTAATTTTTTAGAGTATTGCACCTAATTTTTCCTTAAAAAAATCGGGTGTTTAAAGATACATTTTTAGAAATCAGGTCCATAATTTGTATATTCAAAAATCAGGTATCATTTGAATATTTAAATAATATTATAATACTAATAATTCACACCAACCCTAATTCATTTTTTCTCTCACTACCCCCTCCCTATGTTCAGCAGCGCGACGCTACATTTCGTCGCGACGCGGGTGGATGTGGCGGCGACGGTGAGCCATCTTCATTCAAGCCAGAGAGATTTTTGGGCTCAAAAATTGACTATAAGGGGCAGCATTTTGAATTGGGATAATTCTACTTGTACATTATGCCATCCATAATGGATGACATAATGTACAAGTGGAATTATCCTATTGGAGGGTGTGTCGGTGGGACAGCACACCAACCAATAATGTACTGCCACTTGTACATTATATCATCCATTTTGGATGTCATAATGTACAAGTAGCACAACCCTTTGAATTGATTTCATTTGGCGCCGGACGAAGGATTTGTGCAAGGATTCCTTTAGCCCACCCTATGCTGCATCTTGCACTCGGATCATTACTGCATGAATTTGATTGGTGCTTTTTTAGGTGTGTTTAAAAGCATTTTTAGGTGCTTTTTTGGACTTCCTTTGGAGCTTATGCAGTCCCACCCAATCTATAGTTAAAAGTGATCTTTAAATTACTTTTCTCATATGGATGTAGCGGATGTGGATATGGCGGCGACGGTGAGGTGGTGGTAAACCATTAAATAGTTAATATGTGAGTGGTTGGTCGTGAAAGTTGTTGTTCGTAAATTGGATCTAGGAGTTTGGGAACTTTTTTCAGCTCGATGACGTGAGATGGTGCGTGTCGTGGGTGCGGTCAGGGGTTGTGGCGGCGACGGTGAGGTGTTTACAGTTGCTAATGTGGGGGGCAGCGACAGTGAGGTGGTGGCGAACCATTAAATAGTTAATAAGTGAGTGGTTGGTGGTGGAGGTTGTTGTTCCTATATTGAATCTGGGAGTTTGGGAACTTTTTTCAGATCGATACCGTAAGATGGTGCATGCCATGGGTGCGGTGGTGGTGGTACTTACTTGATGTGGTGTGTGGTGGGTTGACAATGGTGGTGGCAGTCGACGATGGTGCAGGTGGAGAATCTGGTGATTTTGATTTTTTGTGACTAAAAATATAATATGTGACATTAAAATTCTATAATCTGTGACTAAAATATAATTCGTACATTAAAATTCTATAATATGTGACTAAAATATAATTCGTGGCCAACCATTTTTTTATTTGTAACTTAAAAATTATATAATCTATGACCGTAAAAAAATATGTGATCAATTAATTTGGAAATCTATGACTGTGTGACCTATAAATTATGATATGTGGCCAACTAATTTTGAAATATGTGACTATTGAATTAATTTTGGCCTATAAAATTTTTGAACTGTGACCGTAAATTGTAAATTTGTGACCAGAATAGTCGTCGGAATCTGAGCAGTCGTCGGAACAGTCGCCAGAGAAGAGTGGTGGTCGAAATGGTCGTCGGAATAGTCGCCGGAGCGGTATGGATGGTGCATGTGGGATGGATTAATTATATTATATTACATTAGAATTAAATATTTAATAATAAACTAATTTAATAATTTATTATTTCATAAAAAAAAAACCTGATTTTTGAATTTTCAACTTTAAACCTGATTTTTGAATTGCTGTAAAGTATACCCCTTATTTATGAATTTTTCCCTAATAATAATGTGAAAATTACCCAATTCCTTACTTTTGGAGATCCAAATTCTAAAATCAGATTTCATATTTTAATTTTCAAAAATCAGATATATTTAATTAGATACAGATTATATATAAATTATATTTTAATTTCATCCCAATTAATTTTATCACAAATCAAACCCTAAATTCACTTCTATCAATCTCCGTCTCTCACTTCTCTCCCATGATATAACGGCAATTCACACAGCCACATTTCATTCATATATTCACTGGAGTAGATATCAGACAAGAAAATAAACACCAAAATGAGAAAATTCGATCCATGGCCAGTGTTCTTCAGGAGAGAATTCAATCGCAATTGGCCTTTCCTTGTTGGCTTCGCTATTACGGGCACCATCATAACCAAGTTTTCCCTCGGCCTCACTGGTTCGTACCCTAATTTTTCTTATTTCTATA